GGGAGCCTCTTTTCTCCTACAAGGTGCAGGTTCTCACAGACCCCAGAGACCCCAGCTGGACCCTGCCACACCCGGCCCGGTCCAGGGCTCTCCAGTGGGCAGGGCTGTAGGAGGGGAGGGGAAGGGAGGCCACGGGCAGGTGGGGCAGCCCAGGAGAAGCACCCCACATGGAGAGCGGCCGCCGCGAGTCTCCACCTGCCCGCCGCCCGTTTCTGGCGCTTCCAGTTCTGTGAGCTGCGCAGGGTAGAGCGAGCAGCCCTGAATCCTTTAAGCCCTTGACAAGGAAACGCCACGTTGGGTGTGTGAGCATCAGAGTGTTGTGTTTTTGTTTGTTTGGGGCCACACCTGGCAGTGCTCAGGGCTCACTCCTAGTGGGCTTGGGGGACCACATGGGGTGCTAGGGATTGGACCAGGGTTGTGACCATGAGCAAGGCCAGTGACCCGCCTGCTGTGCTGTTTCTCAGGCCCTGTGAGAATGTGTTTGAGGGATGTGTGTGTGCGTGTGTGTGTGTGTCTACAGGGTGTGTGTGTGCTTGTATGTTTGGGGTGTGTGTAAGGCATATGTGAATGTGTTTAAGGGATGATTGTGAATGCATGTTTGGGGCATGTATATGTGTGTGTTGGAGCATGTATATGTGCGTGTGCATTTGGGTATATGTGTGTATATTTAGGCAAGTGTATGTGCATATGTGTTTGGGACATGTGTGTGTGGACTGTAGCGATAGCACAGCAGGTATGGCATATGCCTTGCATGCGGCCGACCCGGGTTCGATTCCTCCATTCCCCTTGGAGAGCCTGGCAAGCTACTGAGAGTATCCTGCCTGCTCAGCAGAGCCTGGCAAGCTCCCCGTGGCGTATTCGATATGCCAAAAATGGTAACCAGTCTCACAATGGAGACATTACTGGTTCCCGCTTGAGCAAATCGATGAACAATGGGATGATAGTGCTACAGTGCTACGTATGTGAATGCATGTTTGGGTATGTGTGTTTGTGTGTGTTTTGGGGATGTGTGTGTGTGTTCATGTTTGGGACATCCATGTGTATGTGTGTGTTTGGGACATCCGTGTGTGTGTGTGTGTATGTATGTTTGGGCATGTGTATGTGTGTGTGTAAGCGTGTCTGGGGAATGTGTGTGTGTGTGTGTGTATGTGTGTGTGTGTGTGCTGGGGGCACCTCTGCACTGAGTCCCACCCAGGCTGGATCCCACCGTGCCTGGGAGCCAGAGACTGGGCAGGGCCAGCCTGCAGGCCGGGGTTGCTGCTTCCCTGCAATCTTGGGGACCTCATTAACTCTGCCTAGAGATATCTTGTCCAGGAAAGCAGAGGACTGGAGCTGTGCCCCGAGCAGTCAGCCCCTCGGCATGTCCTGTGGGGTGAGGCCAGAGCCAGGCAAGGTTCAGTTTGACCCCAGGCACACAGGGCTCCCTGAGCACTGCCCAGTCCCCTTGATGGCTGCCTGTGCCGTGAGGCTGTGCCCTCCACATGTGCAGGAGTTTGCAGCCCCAACCCCAGAATCTAGGGATCGAAGGGAGCCTGTGAGCAGCAGGGGCTTCCCCACACGCGACCCTGAGCACACATGTGGGTAAGAGGGGGCTGCTGACCTTCCTGCACCCACCTGTCCCTCCATGAACTGCTGGTTCTGGGGTGCAACTGCCGTCAGACTCCCCTGGTCTCGACAGGTGAAGACGGTGCCAAGAGTCACCCCGGGCGGTTCTGGGGCCCCCACCCCGCGTGGCCCCCTTAGTGCCCCGAGCTGCAGCGGAAGGGGTATCCGGGCATGGTGGGAGTAAGGATGTCGCTGCCAGGCAACAGAGCAGGGAGTCACCATTTTGGCTCCCATGGGGAGGCCCAGAGAACCTTGGGAGAGTCCTAGGGACAGACCCCTGTTAGACCCCTGCCTTAGAGAGTTTCCCCATCTCTAAGGCAGAGCAACTGACTGCTCTGAACTTAAGCAGACAATATCCCATCCATGCCAGAGAACACGACTGTGCCCACCTGTGCCCACTGGGATCTGCCTGTACCCGCCTGTATCCACCTATGTCCGCTATACCTGCCTGCATCCACCTGTATCCACCTATACCTGCCTGTATCTACCTGTGCCCGCCTCTACCTGCCTATATCCACCTGTTGTGCCTGCCTGTACCCACTCGTACCCACCTATATCCACCTGTACTTGCCTGTGCCCGCCTGTATCCACCTGCGCCCGCTTGTACCCACCTGTACCCACATGTGCCAGCTGGTACCTGCCCGTGTCTGCTGCACCCACCTTACACACCTGGATCGTTTGAGTCCACCTGTACCCACCTGTGCCTCCCTGATGCTGTCTGAGCCCACCCGAGTCAGCCCAGCACTCCCCGGTGTCCCTAACGTCTGCAGGGCCAGGGCTGGGCTCCAGGGGCCTCAGGATGTGTGACATGGGGTGTTTCAGCCATCACCCTCGCGGAGCACATGCCCCACCCTCCTGCCCCCCTCCCCTGTACACCGGACCCCTTTCCAGTCTCCCAGAGTCAGTGGGCTGAGTGGGCTGTGGCCTGAGGACCTTCTCTTCGGGCACAGCAGGTATACCCGAGGGGCGTTGGCTCCCCCAGCCGCACAGCCCGCCTCCTCCTTGAAGGACACCTGCTCCGGGCTCCCTGGTGGAACTCAATGCCCCCTGACCCCAGCTCAGCAGAGGCCTCCTGAGGCGGGCAGCTGGCCACTGTAGCCCTGTGCCTCAGTTTCCCCAGCCAAGAGGGGAGATGCCGTCAGAATGCTGCCAGCCCCGGCTCAGCTGAGCTGAGGGGATTGGACTGTCCGGGAGCAGGGCTGGGCAGAGTGTGGTGACCGTGAGGGGCTTGGCAGGCAGGCAGGCACACAGAGCTGGCTGGCGCTGAGGATTCAGCCTTGTTTATTCCTGGCAGGAGCTGGGAGTGGGGGCACGCAGAGGGGAGGGGCGCCTTTTTCAAAAAATAATAACAAAAATGCTGGTCTAGAGAGCTCCCAAGCCGTGCTGAGCTCCAGAAGGGTCCTGGAAAAAATGCTGAGAAGGTTTAAGTGTAAATGGACCCGAAACACCATAATTAAATTTCCCTTAAATCTACCAGAGTTTGGGGTCAAAGAAAAAACAAAACTGAGGGAAAATACACTTGAGGTTTCAGGCAAATGCCAAGTGCTTAGGAAAATAGGTTTCTGAGCTGCTCAGTGGCTACCGGCCTGGCTCTGCCAGCGGGGGAGGGGCAGTGCGGCCCGCCACCCTGGTGCCAGCCGCTGGGCAGGCAGGCCTCTGCTGGAGTCTGAGGGCCGAGGGCATGTGGGCTGGCTGGCCCCACACCCCCAGAGCCCTGTGTACCCCGCCTGCTCTTGCTCCAGGAGGAAGGAGCTTTGCACACGCGTTGTCCAAGTGTTGGTCCGAGGCTTTGGGACTATTCTCTTTTTCTTTAACAATCTGTGTCTGAGGCTGGAAGAGGGCTCCAAGGGCTGGGATCTGGCCTGGGCCCCTGGGCCCTGCCAGAAGGGACCCCCTCGCATGGAGCCTGGAGGAGTCCCCGGCTACTGCCAGGTGTGGCCCCAAACCAAATTCCATTTCTGTTACGAATCGGAAGTTTTTTCATTTTGTTTCTCAGATTCCCTCAGAATAAGTTTGAAAGGCAGCATTGCCCCCAAGTGCGACCTCAGGGCGGGAGGCAGGCGGAGACCTGGGCTCACTTTCCCCAGCCCTGTCAGCCCAGGGCCCCCCACTCACCTGACCGCACCCCTGCTCCCGCCTGGCCGCCTGCCGCATCCCTGCCCCGGGCACGGGGCACGCTGTGCCTGCTCCCCACCCACAGTGCCCCCCTCACCCTCTGCCTCACACAGGCCCCAGCAAGCTAGAGCGCCCGCTGAGTCACCACTGCTGGGCCAGCCCGCCTCATTGGCCTCCTCCCACGCTCCGCTTCATGGGACCCCCGTGGGTGTGGGTGCAGGAGGGCAGGTCCCCCGTCACCTGTCCACGCCAGATCCAGCAGAGGGTGTGGGGGCCCGTGGGGAAGCTGGGAATCGGAACATTGAGAATCGGCAGCTGAAGTGCTGGACTGTGCGGGGTGCCTGGGATGTGGGGCTGTCCTCTGCGGGGTGGGGACTGTTCTCTGTGGGGGTGTGGGACCGTCTGTCTCTCTGGAGACCTCAGAGTCGTGGTATCAGAGCCACCAGATGCGGCAGTGACACTACAGGGTCCTCCAGATGAGCAGAGGCCCTGAGACACCACCACGGCAGGACCCACTTCTACGTCCCGAGGTGACCCGGGAACACAGCCTGATCTGAGATAGGATGTCTGTCGTTCAGCCGCATGGACAGGTCTTCTCTGGGATGAGGGAGCTAGAGGCAGTCCCCAGGAGGGTTCGGGAGGCAGCTCCTCTGGGGCTCCAGACTGTAACTGCTGAGACCCCAGCCGCCTGACTGGGGGAGGTGCTCCCACGCAGAAAGCCGTGTGTGGACAGAGCCTGGAGCACAGGATTTGGCCCAGGTTGGCCAGCTCTGGCCCGGCCCCCTGGGCAATCAGGATTCAGAGCAGGTGCCCGGACAGGAGGCACCCCCTGGGAACCAGGGGCCCCGGGGGTCCCTGCAGGGCAGGCACGGGGGCTGGGACCGGAAGAGGCTGGGTCTCCCGAGGGGCCAGGGCTGGTGGCCGCGGGCTGCGTGCCGGGTGCTGGGGACTGCGCGGGAGGCCAGGCCTCCCCAGCTCCCCCGCCCTGCTGCGTGCACTGATGCGCACTCTGACCCCAGAGCCCTCTCGCCCGTGGGCCGGACACGGCCACGGTCACGCCAGGTGTTCGGGGCTGGGCCCTGAGCGCCAGCCCTAAGCGTGTGTCCCCGCACTGAGCTCCGCCCGGCCGCGATGGGGGTCCGGCCCCGCGCGGCTCCCACGGCCCCCGCGCCCGCCCGGCGCCCGCGCGCCCCGCCCCGGGGGCGTCTCCGGGGGGCGTCTCCGGGGGCGTCTCCGGGGCGGGGCGGGGCGGGGCGGGCCTGGCCGCGGCGCGGGGCCGCCGGGCTCAGTGCTCGTTGGCGGCGGCGGCTCGGGCAGCGGGCGCCGCGCGGTCCAGCTCGGACGACCCCGCCCCTGGACGGCGCGAGGAGCGCGCGGCCGCAGCCGGAGCCGCCGGGCCGGGGCGCGGGGCCGGGGGTCCCGAGCCCCCCGCAGCCTCCTCCCGCCGGGCCGGACCGGACCATGGGGGGCCGCGGGGCCTGAGGACACCGCCCCCCGCGCCATGGGCGCCCCGCGCGCCCTCGCCCTCTGCGTGGCCCTGGCCGTCGCGGCCGGCCGCGTGGCCCCGGGACCCCCGGGCGGAGCGACAGGTAAGCGCGGGGGCGGCGGGGCGGCGCGGGGCGGGGGGCGGCGGCCGCGTGTCCGGCGCGTCCAGCGCGTCCCGCGCGCCCCGCGCCCGCGCCTTTGTGCGCCTTGGCGGGGGGCGCAGATGCGGGCAGTCCCCGAGAAAGACGCGACTGCCCCGGCCCGCGGGGACCCCGCCAGGTGCGCGCCGCCCCTCCCGCGCCGGAGGAGCAGGTAGAGAGCGAGTTGGTGGGTCAATAAACTTAAACCGGTTCCGTAACGAGCCGGCCCCGGGGAAGTACAAAGGCTCGTGAAAGCGTCAGCGCCGGGCGCACTTTCCCCGGCGAAGCCCGGGGCAGCTGGGGTCAAGGCCCGGGAACCGCGGGCAGCGGCGCCCCTCGGTGGGGGAGCCCCGGCCCCCGCCCCCCGCCCTGGCTGGACTTTGACCCGGACCGGCTGTCCGGTGGCTCATTAACCCAGCTCCTTCTGGCCTCCAGCCCGGCCGGCTGCCCCAGGGCTGCGGGCCCCACCGGGTGGACCCCGCCTTGTTCAGCCGAGAGCGGGGCTGCGGTTCCCTGGAGAGCCCGGGTGTTTGGGGTGCTGCAGCCCGAGTGCTTCTCAGCACCTCCCCGCCTCAGTTTCTCTCCTTGCAAGGGGCGTGGTGGGGGCGAGGAGGATTAGCCGGATAATCCTATAAACCCTCATTAGCCCGCCCAGCCCTGTCCCCCCCTTGCTTAACTGTTAAGAAACCTGAGCGTGTTTCCTGGTGGGAGGCGGGAGCTGGACTCTGGGGTCTCGCCCTGCCCTGATCCTCAGCACCAGTACCTGGTCCACAGGCTCAGTCCCTGTGCTGTGAGGGCTTGTCCTGGGGTGCTTCCTTTCCTGCTCCTCGAAGGCTGGAGACCTGGGCTGCCCCCCCCCTTGGGACCCTGGGGCTGGGGACCCTCAGGCTGTGGGGACCTGAGGGCAGGGGAATCCCAGGACTGAGCGACTGAGTGCCCCCCCCCCAGCCTTGGGGAGCTGGAAGCCCAGTTACCCCTGCCGGCTCCTGCATGTCCCCCTGGGGAGCCCTGCCCAGCACTCCCACTCAGGTCCCTCCAGGCCTGGGGGCTGCCCCTGGCCGAGCCCAGCAGGGTGTGGGGTGGCGGGTGGAGGGACACTCTGCTCTCTGCAGACCCACTGGAGCCACCACTTCTGCCCAGGGCCAGGCCCGGGAGCTGTTGGCTGCGGAGGACGTGGGGTCAGGCTCTGCCTTGGGGGTCTGGGTTGCAGACCCGGGACACTGGGGGACAAGCGTGGCTTTCGGCTGTGACTGGGGGCCTGAATCTAGGCTGTGCAGCTGCAGAATGACAAGTGTGGGCACAACTGACCCACAGGGCCGGGACCACCCCGCCTTGCCCTGGGCCCCGCGCCCGGGCCTGTGCCTCTGCCATTATCCGGCCTGGGCTGTCTGCCGTCCCCCCGGGAGCTGGGCCGGGACCCCAGTGGGCAGCAGTCCCCGGAAGACACCTCCTTTGAACTGTGGGCTCCCATGTCTGCCCAGAGGTGACCCTGTCTGAAGATTGGGCTTCCGCCCAACTGACTGCGAGGGCCCCTCGCCTTCTTATTCCACCTCAGAGCCTACTGTGGGTTCATGGTGTTGCCCACCTTGATGTGCTAGCCGCCGCGCTGCCAGAACATTTTCGGTCGGCGGGCGGGTGCTCGGTGTGGAGTGCTCCCCTCCCCAGGCATGTGAGGGCCTGGGTCCCACCCTCCTCCCAAGAGAAAGCAGCAGTGGTGGGAGAGAAGAGCTCGTGGGTCTGGGGGACACAGGCTGGGCATCGTCCCCTGCTGCGCCATCCGGGCTCTGCAGGACAGCTGGCAGGACTCGGGTGCCAGCCTCATGCTCTCTCGGCAGAGGCCCCGCAGGAGCAGCTGGTCTTCGTCAGTGGGGAGATCCTGGAGTTGAGCTGCCCCCCGGCAGGGGCGCCCGCGGGGCCCACAGTCTGGGCCAAGGACGGTGAGGGGCTCATGCCGTCCCCGCGAGTCCTGGTGGGGCCACAGCGCCTGCGAGTGCTCAATGCTTCCCAGGAGGACGCTGGTGCCTACAGCTGCCGCCAGCGGCTGGGCCAGCGCGTCCTGTGCACCTTCAGCGTGCGTGTGACAGGTGGGTCTGGGGGACAGCTGGGCAGAGGGGCAGCGAGGGGGGAGATGTGGGCCCTGGGGGATGCCGCCCTCCCCGGCTTCCCCCTACCGCCCCCTCTCACTCCCAGATGCACCTTCCTCGGGAGATGATGAAGATGGGGAAGACGAGGCTGAGGACACAGGTAAGAGCAGGGCGGGCGCGGGGTGCTCAGGTGGGGCTGCAGGCGGCATTGTTGGGACAGGCCACCCCAAGGGAGCACACGGGGGCGGGAGGTTCCCAATCAGACATGGACCTCTGGGGGTCCTGGGAGGGGCGGGGCGGGCTGTGGAGGGCAGAAGGAGACCCTGGGCATGGGGGCCCCCTACTTGGACTGGGGAGTCCTGGGCCCCTGGACGCCGGGGAAGTGCTGGCCTGGCGCGCAGCTGACATCATACAAGGTCCCCCAAGTACCTCCTGGAGTGACCTCCGAGTACAGAGCTAGGAGTAAGCTCCGAGCTGCGCTGAGCGTGGCCCAAAATGCACCCCACTTCAGAAGACCATTTGGAGTTTTGTCCTGACAGAAGACCCCCAGAGGTCCAGCACAGGAGGGAAACTGAGGCTGGGTGGGGTCAGTAGGCAGCTCCCCTGGGGCCGGGCTCTCACAGGCCCCCTGGAAGCAGGTGCCCCGTACTGGACCCGGCCCGAGCGCATGGACAAGAAGCTCTTGGCTGTGCCGGCTGCCAACACCGTCCGTTTCCGCTGCCCGGCTGCTGGCAACCCCACCCCATCCATCTCCTGGCTGAAGAATGGGAAAGAGTTCCGGGGCGAGCATCGCATCGGGGGCATCAAGGTGGGGGGGGCTTGGGGGCCGGGGTGGGCAGGGCTCGGGACACTGGTGCAGGCCGGCTGCTCACTGAGACCCCCCCCCCCGCAGCTGCGGCACCAGCAATGGAGTCTGGTCATGGAGAGCGTGGTGCCTTCGGACCGCGGGAACTACACGTGTGTGGTGGAGAACAAGTTCGGCAGCATCCAGCAGACATACACGCTGGACGTGCTCGGTGAGCTGGTGGGGGACAGATGGGCCGACTCGAGCCCAGCCCACAGCCCTGAACCCAGCTGTGCCCCGAGCACACCCTCCTGAGCCACCCCCTCTCCGGCAGAGCGCTCCCCGCACCGGCCCATACTGCAGGCTGGGCTGCCCGCCAACCAGACGGCGGTGCTGGGCAGCGACGTGGAGTTCCACTGCAAAGTGTACAGTGACGCGCAGCCGCACATCCAGTGGCTCAAGCACGTGGAGGTGAACGGCAGCCGCGTGGGCCCCGATGGCACCCCCTACGTCACTGTGCTCAAGGTGGGCACCCCCACGGCCAGGAAGGCCCAAGGGTGGGTGGGTGCGGTCAGCCTGCAGCCTCCCTTTGTTCCTGCAGCCCCTGTGGGCGCTGGGGGCTGCAGCTGCTGAGAGGCAGGCTAGGTGGGGCGGGCCTGCGCGGAGCCGCCTGCTGCCCTCGGGCCTCCACGCCTCCCGCGGCTCTCTTGTCCCTGCAGTCGTGGATCAGTGAGAGTGCAGAGGCTGATGCGCGCCTCCGCCTGGCCAATGTGTCTCAGCGCGACGGGGGCCAGTACCTCTGTCGGGCCACCAATTTCATAGGCGCGGCTGAGAAGGCCTTTTGGCTGCGTGTCCGCGGGCCCCAAGCAGGTAACCACTCTGTCCCACGCCTGCCTGGCACGCAGAGCTCAGCTGACACCCGGCCTGGCGCCTGCCTGCACAGCCCAGCCTGCTCGCCCCCTCCCTCCCCCCCGCCTCTACACTGCTGGCACCTTGGCCTTGACTGTGCCCACCTGCTTTGGCCCCGTGGCCCGTGTTGACCCACCCCCTGCTCCCGCCCCCTCGCACCTTGGACGCTCTCAGCCCTGGCCAGGCCGAGCCCCCTTTGAGCCTCCACCTGCCTGCGCCCACCACTCTCCGCCCACCACCTACCACTGCCCGCTCACCACTCCTGCCGTGTATCTGTGCCTCGGCCCTCTGCCTGTGCCCTCTGCCCCTGGCCCCCGCATGCCACGACCCCCCCCACTCTGCCGCACGCCTGCGCTCACCTGGGACAGAGGACCTGTTGGTGGAGGGACTGGCTTCGGCTCGGTGTGGACGCGCGCGGCGGAGGATTGTCGGCCAGCCAGCTGGCCACGGCGGTGGCGGCCCTTTTCCTTCTTTGCAGCCTGGCTGGATCGTCGCTGGACGGGCCGTGGTGCGGGGTGCTGGCGTGGCCTATCGCTGCTCTCTTCTCTCTTTGTAGACCGCGGGCGCTAACACCACCGACAAGGAGCTCGAGGTTCTCTCTTTGCGCAATGTCACCTTTGAGGACGCGGGGGAGTACACGTGCCTGGCGGGCAATTCTATCGGGTTTTCCCACCACTCTGCGTGGCTGGCCGTGCTGCCAGGTACCGCTCCTGCAGCTGCTCGCTCTGCACCTCTGGGCGCTGCTGGCTTGGGGCACACCCACGCCAGGCCTGGCCAGCCTCGGCAGCTTTGGTGTCTCCCTGGGTGGCGGGTGCTGGCGCATCTGTCCGGCTTCTCTCCTGGGCCTCCTGACTCGCGTCTGCCTCTAGCACCCTTGGCCAGGCCACCCCCTGGGGTGGCCACTCCCTTCCCGTCCCGGCTGTGCCCGCGGCTCTGGCCAGTCCAGCCTGGCACCCCCAGACTGGGCCTGGCCCGACGCCCCCATGTCTTTACAGCTGAGGAGGGGCTGGCCGAGGCGGGCGAGGCCGGCAGCGTGTACGCGGGCGTGCTCAGCTACGGCGTGTCCTTCCTCCTCTTCATCCTCGTGGTGGTGGCCGTCACGCTGTGTCGCCTGCGCAGCCCCCCGAAGAAGGGCCTCGGCACGACCCCTGTGCACAAAGTCTCACGTTTCCCGCTCAAGCGACAGGTAACAGGAAGTAGCAGCTCAGGCGGGCAGGTGGGGGCCCACCCTTGGCCCCCAGCACCGACCTGGTCCTGCCCACCCAAGCAGGTGTCCTTGGAGTCCAGCTCGTCCCTGAGCTCCAATACGCCGCTGGTGCGCATCGCCCGGCTGTCCTCAGGGGAAGGCCCCGCGCTGGCCAATGTGTCTGAGCTCGAGCTGCCTGCCGACCCCAAGTGGGAGCTGTCTCGCGCCCGGTGAGCGTGGGCCCGGGGAGGCTCCCGACAATCCAGATGGACATGCAGGAGCACGGGTGGTGCCTGGGGATACAGGGTGCGGCGGCCCGCAGGCTGAGGTCATGATCGTCACAGCAAGGCATTCACGGTTAAGTGTGGAGGGCTTCCTGGGAGTGGTGATGCTCATGGTGGCTGTCTCTGCCTCAGGCTGACCCTGGGCAAGCCTCTGGGAGAGGGCTGCTTCGGCCAGGTGGTCATGGCGGAAGCTGTCGGCATTGACAAAGACCGAGCGGCCAAGCCCATCACCGTGGCCGTGAAGATGCTGAAAGGTGCAGGGATGGGGGGAGGGCGGGGAAGGGAATGGGTGGGGAGCACTGCCTGAGGGAGCACTTCCAGGGCAGGGGGAGGGAGAGGGTGGGGGAGCACTGCCATGGGGAGCACTACCTGACGGAGCACTTCCTCCCCGGGGGAGGGGGTGCCTGACGGAGCACTCCCTTCATGCAGACGATGCTACGGACAAAGATTTGTCAGACCTGGTGTCAGAGATGGAGATGATGAAGATGATGGGGAAACACAAGAACATCATCAACCTGCTGGGCGCCTGCACGCAGGGCGGTGCGTGTGCAGGCATGGGCACCCCTCCCGCTTATCCTGGTGCATGCGCAGCCCTCTCACTACCCGAGAGTGTGGCGTGGATGCCGGTTCTGAGCTGCCTTGCCTGCAGGGCCCCTGTACGTGCTGGTGGAATACGCAGCCAAAGGCAACCTACGGGAGTACCTTCGTGCGCGGCGGCCCCCGGGCATGGACTACTCCTTCGACACCTGCAGGCTTCCCGAGGAGCAGCTGACCTGCAAGGACCTGGTGTCCTGTGCCTACCAGGTTGCCCGGGGCATGGAGTACCTGGCCTCAAAGAAGGTGAGTGGGCGGCAGTGCCCCCTGGTGGCCGGGCCTGCTGCCAGCAGCCGCGTCATGGGAATGGCCCTGCCCGCAGTGCATCCACAGGGACCTGGCGGCCCGCAATGTGCTGGTGACCGAGGACAATGTGATGAAGATCGCAGACTTCGGCCTGGCACGCGACGTGCACAACCTCGACTACTACAAGAAGACCACCAACGTGAGCCCAGTGGGGGCTGGGGGTGTGGAGGGCTAAAGCGGGAGAGGGTGTACGCTCACGGCACCTCGTGCATCCTTGCTCCCCAGGGCCGGCTGCCTGTGAAGTGGATGGCCCCCGAGGCTTTGTTCGACCGAGTCTACACGCACCAGAGTGATGTGTGAGTGCAGGGGTGCGGGGTGGGGCTTGTCACTGGGATAGGGCCCCTGACGCCTGGTGCCCCTACAGCTGGTCCTTCGGGGTGCTGCTCTGGGAGATCTTCACTCTGGGGGGTTCGCCGTACCCCGGCATCCCTGTGGAGGAGCTGTTCAAGCTGCTGAAAGAAGGTCACCGCATGGACAAGCCGGCCAACTGCACACATGACCTGTGAGTGCCCGCCCACCCCGCAACACATTACCTGAGTGCTCTCCTCCCTGCACACATTCCCTATGAGTGCCCACCTCCCTACGTGCCCGACTGTGAGTGCCTGCTCTCTACATGCGTGACCTGAGTGTCCGGTTCCTGCACGCATGACCTCTGAGTGCCCACCTCCCTACATACATGACTGCCTGCCCCCCACAGGCATGGCCTGTGAGTGCCTGTGCTTGCACTGCACACGTGTGATGCCAGCTGGTGCTGAGGTGCCGTGCCCACAGGTACACAATCATGCGGGAGTGCTGGCACGCCGTGCCCTCGCAGAGGCCCACCTTCAAGCAGCTTGTGGAGGACCTGGACCGTATCCTCACCATGACATCCACTGACGTGAGCAGGACCCCGGCTGGGGGCGGGGGAGGCGGGTGTGGAGGCCAACTCACAACACCTCCCACCCACAGGAGTACCTGGACCTGTCGGTGCCTTTCGAGCAGTACTCGCCGGGCGGCCAGGACACCCCCAGTTCCGGCTCCTCAGGGGACGACTCCGTGTTTGCCCATGACCTGCTGCCCCCAGCACCCACCAACAGCGGGGGTCCAAGGACGTGAAGGGCTGTTGGCTTGTAGAGGACTGTGCTCGCCAGGCTGCTACCGCTGCAGTGAGGCACTGGAGCCCGCCGGCCTGGGCCTGAGACATGGGTGGGTGGGCGGACGGACGGACGGACAGACACCTTAATGTGTGCGCGTGAGCCTCACAGCCCAGTGCCAGGTCTCCCGGGTCCCGTCCTGCTGTATAATGCACTCGGGGACCGAATATAGAATGTAAATGGGGTCTTTTTCCCAGGGACCTCTCCCCCAGGCTCCCTTGCTTCCACTGCCATGCCCCAGGGAGCATGGTGGTGGCCGGTGCCCAGGTGCCACCAAGTGCCCTGAGCTGAGCCTTCAGGCTCAGGTGTGGGTGAGCATGTGCAGAGCCCTCAGGCCTGCCCTTGGAGACTGAGATTACGGGTACCTGAGGCGGGGCCTCTGCCTCCTCTCCCAAGGGGCGCACCTGTCCCCGCAGATGCCAAGCACATGTGCTCGTCTCCGGAGACTGGGGTGCGGGGGTCCTCGTGCTGGAGACCAGTGGGGAGGGGCGTGCCTGCCCCCGCAGTTTTGTTTTAGAAATTGTGCCTGGGCCTGTGTACTTGTAAAGCTATTTATGGCCCCAGCCCTCGCCCCCTAGGGGGGTGCTATAGGGGGACAGGCCCCAGGAAGGGCTCTGCAGCCCCTTCAGTCACCTCTGCGAGGAATATGTGCGGGTGCGGGGGACCAGGTGGGAGCTTTGAGCAATCCTGACTCAGTGTCCTCCAGCTTCTGGCCAGGCGGCCTCCCACACACAGGGTCCGATGTCATTAATGTTACAAGTTTATATAATTTATTGAGTTTTGATAAGATATATTTGCTGTAGATTTAACCTTCTGACGCAGTGCTTCTAGACTTTGGGAGCTGGCCCTGCTGCCTCTCAGCTTGGGGGTGCCCTGGGTTGGAGGGGCAGCGCCACATGGCCTGGGGACTCTGCCGTCAGGCCCAGCCAGGCAGATGTGCTTCCCAAGAAATAAAGATGACTGGCTGTGGCCTCGATCCTGTGTGTGTGCTGCTGTTCCCACTCCCCCACAGCTGCTCTTCATCTCCCCCCTCCCCCTCCCACCACTGCCAGGAGGGGCTGGAACTGACAGGAGCAGGAGGCATGAAGGTTCTGTCTACACTGGCCACTCCCTGCTCCTACTAGGCCCTCCCTGTCCCAGGGTCCCCTGTACTCGGCCACAACGGTCATCAACGACCAGGTCATGGTTCAGTGACATAAAGGTAGCCCTCCCCCCATCTTTAAGTGAAACCTTCATTAGCTGGATTTCAAGTTCACGGTGTGGGCGGGAAGATCAGGGTGGAGGGGCATGTTGGAAACAGTCTGGGAAGACTCCCTGGAGGGGGGCATTTTAGTCCCCCGAGAGCTAGCTGGTGCTGCTGTCTTGCCTCTGCAAGGCCTTGGGTGTACCTTGCTCCCCTGGACCCAAGACTGAGGAAGGATCCCCTCTGTGCTCAGGGCCTCTCACTTGTCCTAGTGCCTCCTAAGACACAAGCTGTCCTAGTCTTCTCACTGCCCTTGGGTGCGCGGCAACTTGGGGGCCTGCACCCTCCTTGTCCCTGCTGACCTCTGGGAACGCCTCCATGGGTGTGGGGGCGACCGCCTGCTAGGGTCTTGGTTCATCTTATTAGGGAGCACCTCTCACACAGCCCAACACCCATGTCGACTCCCTGGTGACATCCAGCAGCAGCCCTAGGAAAGCAGGTCTGGGAAGAGAACCTGAGCCATAGCTGACGGTGCCCCCTAGTGCTGAGCAAGGAGACTGACAGGCAGAGAGGGTAGGCCGGGACCCAGGGCGGGATGGCCTGCAGGATGCAGCCCATTCCTTTTTTGGGGCCCTCGTCTGCCCTGTCATATCTCACTTGCTGTCCGGTCAGAGCCTGGAAACTGGGGGTCTCCAGGATGGGCTTACCCGAATGGGCTGGCACCACCCTTCTTTCCTGCAACACCCTTCTTTCCTGGCACCTGGTGCATAAGCCCTGAGAGTACAAAGGTCAAAACTGCCTGGTGCACAGCTGTCGCCACACATGGCACTCAAGCACCACTAGGGGTGACCACCCCGGGCAGGGGGACAGGGTTGCACCTGGTGCTATTGCGCTGTCAGCCAGGAGTCCCCTGACTTCCTGAGCCCTGCATGGGAGGCCCTGAAATACTAAACCACAAAATGGGTGCTGGAGAGTAGGGGATGAAAGGCTTGTCTCGCATGCAACTACAGCAGTAGCTCCTGAACTCGATTCAGGTACCCCACCTGGTTGCTTGAGCACTGCAGGGCTCACTGCTGAGCACAGACCTGGAAGTCTCTACGCCCCTTCTCCTATGGCACCAACAGAAGGGATCTCCTCCAGCATCTCAGCCCAGGTGCTGTTGGCCTGGGGGCAGTGCCCCTCACCTGCTTTGTCCTGGCCATGAGTTGGAAGGCCCTCTGGCTGCCTCTAGGAAATGAAGCACATCCTTCCTTTTAGGATGAGGTCGGGCACAAGGCTGCTGTCTATGTGCGGGGTTGTCCACATGTTGCCTCAGCTGCTGCCCCAGCCCCCAGCAGCTGTCTTTTTTTAAAAATTTTTATTAGTGAAACACCATGAAGTACAGTTGTAGACTTACAAATTTTTGTGTTTGGGTTTCAATTATACAATGTTCGAGTACCCATCCCTCCACCAGTGCCCATTTTCCACCACCATGGATCCCAGTATCCCTCCCACCCCCTCTTCCCCCCCCAACCCTCCCTGCCTCTGTGGCAGGGCATTCCCTTTTGTTTTCTCTCTCCTCTTGGGTGTTGTGGTTTGCAAAAGAGGCATTGAGTGGCAATCATATTTGGTCTATAGTCTACTTTCAGCATGCATCTCCCATCCTGGATCCTCCCAACACCCTTTATTTGGTGCTCCCTTCTCTATCTGAGCTGCCTTTTCCCCTAGAAGGTACTGCTGGCCTCCACGCCATCGAGTGAACCTCCTTGTACTTATCTTGGCTATTCTTGGGCGTTAGTCTCCTATTTTGTTATCTGGCAGCTGTCTTATGTGACCTCCTGGACTGTGGGGGCAGGAGCTTCCCTAAGCCTCGTACCCTGGGGTGTATTTTGAATTCTTCAGGCTCCTGGTTGGCTGAAGGGTCACCCCTTGTCTCCTGCCACTAACTTTTGGGCTGTGAAGGACCGCTCGGATGCTGTGGGAGGGTGCAGTGGCCCCCAACCCAAGCAGGCAATGCGGGGGGTTGGGGGGTGGGGTTGGGTGTCTGGGAGGCTGAGCTGAGCCTGGCCAGAGGGGGCAGCTTTCCCCATGCTGGACAGAGCGATGACAACAAGGGATCCACACGCGCTTTATTACCCCTTTCCTCACATGGACTGGAGTGCCAGTCCCGGGATGTGGCAGGGAGGTCACACAATAGTTGGAACTGGAACAAGAACATTTGTTTTACATTTTAGTACAAAGGAGTTGACACATGGCCTGGTCACTGCACAGGGGGTCAACATGCCCAGCTGCGAAGACCAAGGTCTGATGAGGGGCTCTTGGTTCTGAAAGTCTGGGAAGCCCCAAGGCAAAGGTGCCATTCGTGGAGCAGGGCCGCAGGGGAGGACTCCCAGCTCCCTTTCAGGCGTGGATACAAGGCTTCTTCTGAAAACCAGGCTGGGCCAGAGAGCCCAAGGCCCCACACAGACGGTGCTTGAGGCGCAGGGTAGCTGCTTAAACCGATGCCCAATCACAGGAAGCTCTGGCCTCCAGCCTGCATTTGCGATGCTCATTGCAGCTGCAATAAATAAAGTTCAGTAAGGTGAGTAGGGCACAGTGTGAAAGGCCAGAGGCCCTCGCCCCCAGCTGTGGGCAGTCCAGATGCTGGGCAGCGTGGAGGACAGAATGGTGGGCCAAGCCTTCCACAGAGCGGGGCAGCAGCACTCAAGCCCACCGGATCGCAAATGTGTTTCCCAGTGTGACCTTAGCGTGGAGCAAATGGCTGTGGGTGAAGGTGTTCTTTCCTGTTGGTTCACTGCCTCATCCTGGTGAGTCCGGCACTGGTGTTCCAGCTCTGAGGTATGAATCCCACACAAGGACGTTGAAGCACAGGCAGATCTGAGTAGCGGCAGTGAGTTTTCAGGAGGGTAGCCCCTGAGGCTGAGCTGCTGGGTGTCAAGAGGGCTGAATCCCGGTGTGGGGCAGCCGGGCCCGAGGTCATACCCTCCTCCCAGAGGAGCCACCTTGGCAGCTGTAGGAGTGTCCTGTGCTGGGGACCCCCACTGCACCCCGCCGCCCCTTGAGAGTGAACAGCCTGGCTTCTGCGCTGGTGGGAGGGCGGGGGAGACCTGTGACAGTCAGGCAGCCACTGGGGAGAAGGCATTTCCCAGAGGCTGAAGCAGATGAAGGATGTTGTCCTGACTTTGGAAATAGGCTCAGGGGACCACCTGATGGGAGCTCAGGGGCCATGACCCGGTTCCGAAGGGTCTTCTCAGGAGCAGAGGCTGTTGGAATCTGCTCCCACAGGCATGTGTCATGGGCACAGGCTCCATGGCATGCTGTGCCCACAGCGTATCAGACACCGGAGACCTCAGTCTGGCCTGCAGCTGCCTTTACGCCAAAATGCCAGTGCCAGGCCCCTATTCTCTGTTGGTCACCACAGTGGGGCCATCACAGCCCATGACTCCCTGGGGGACACAAGGGTCCACACTGAATCTTCATGGAATGATAATTAAAAATGTACTTGATCATGGAAGCTTCCAATTTATTCCAGATAAAGTATTAGCTCTGTCACTAAGAATCACCTCTAAAAATCACTCTGTTGGCAGGATCATGTGGCGGGAGCAGGCAGACAGGACAGCGCTTAATTCTTGGCCTCTGCAGCCTCCTTCCCAGCCTTGCCCTTGGCTTTCTCCTTTTCCTCCACTTTTTCCTCCTTCTCCAGCATGGCCACAATCTCAGCCATCTGGCTGGTGGAGATGTGAACATCTTCTTTGTCCACCAGCTCGATCACCTACACACGGAGGGTAGAAGCTCAGGGCGGGGCAGCACTTCCCTCATCCAGTGAGCTGTCCCCGGCTTGACCTGGGCAACAGGCACCGGGAGAGGGCTGGCCATAGGAGCAGGTGGTCAGTCAAACCCAGGCTGCCTCCCAAGGACCCGTCCCTTACAGGGTAGGACCTATGCTTTCTCCAAAAAACCCCCAGTCTGAGGGTGAGGCTGCGCCAGCCTGACCCCCACGATCAAGGGATATATCTTTTATTTTTGGCGTTTTAGATCACACCCAGCAATGCTCAGGGGTTACTCCTGTCTCTGCACTCAGGAATCACTCCTGGAAGCGCACGGGGGTACCATATTGGATGTCAGGGACTGAACCTGGGTCAGCCACATGCAAGGCAAAACGTCCTCCTCCCCGCTATACTGTTGGTCTGGCCCCCCAAGGGGCATACCTTGACCAGGTCATTAATGTCAATCTTGCCGTCCTTATTCTCGTCCAGTGCTGTGGCCAAACTGAGGAGTTTGTGTTCTGGAATGTCCTTTATCTGCTTCATGGCACTGATGAGCTCGGTGACACTGACGATGGTCTCCCTGGGGGCAGAGTCTGAATGTGGCCCCGCTGGCTGCACGTCGGCCTCAGGGAGACACCTAGGGGGAGCCCTCCCTTAAGCGCCCTTGCTCCCTGCTGTGGCATGAATGTGCGTGTGCATGGGAGCGGCACTGGGCAGCTGCAGCCAGTCACGTATTCACATGTGCCACAAGGGGCCAAGAATGAGTGTGACAGGCCACAGAGCTCATGCGGCAGCAGGACTCGGGTCGGAGGGGAGGCACACTGGCCCAGCTGAGGCCAGCTCCGCGCCTAGACTCACCCAGATGGGGCACCCTCGGTGGCAGGACCGAGCTTGCCAGCCTTCTGGTCTGCCTCGAGTTGTGAGAGCAGGCTGTCCATCTGCCCGATCATCTGTTGCACCCGTCTCGTCAGCCTCTTGCTGGCTTTAGACTCTTCCACATACATTTCCTCTCCCGTCTTTGAAAGTTCCTTCTTGATTTCTTGTAAGTCCTGAATGAAAATCATGAAAGTTGTAAAGTCTTATTTCTATCACCTCTACTTTGCAAACTGGTCATTAATATTATTGTTTTTTTGGCACACCTGGCGATACTCAGGATTCACTCTTGGTGGGGATCACATGGGGTGCTGGGAATTAAACCCAGTTGGCCGAATGCAATGAAAATGCCCCGCCCAGGGGCTGGAGCAATAGCACAACAGGTAGGGTGTTTGCCTTGCACGCGGCCGACCCGGGTTCGATTCCCAGCATCCCATATGGTCCCCTGAGCACTGCCAGGAGTAATTCCTGAGTGCATGAGCCAGGAGTAACCCCTGTGTAAAGCCAGGTGTGAGCAAAAAAAAAAAAAAAAGAAGAGAAAATGCCCTGCCCATTGCACCATCTCTCTGGCCCTTGTTTTAATTTTTGCAAATTCAAATACTGCTTTTGTGTCAAAGGAAAAAGAACCTGTTTCAGTCCTCTGCTTCCCCAGTAACTGTAAAATAAGAGACCGGGATGGGTCAGAAAATGAGGAAAGCCAAGTCTTCTTTAATTCCATCATTTCCTAGAAGCACAACTGGAGGGGAAAGTGGAGGTGGGCAGTTAAGAACGACGGTCACGGTCCACTACCCCAGAACGGGCAGCAAGAGAGTTCAAAGAGCAGTGAAAGGGCAATAATACATTAGGTAGGGTGCTTGCTTTGCACGTCACCAACCTGGGTTCAATATCTGGCATACCATACGGTCCCTCAAGCACTATCAGAGTAATTCCTGAGTGCAGAGCCGGGAATAAGCCCTGAGCACTGCAGGCCCAACTCCCACCACCACTACACCAAAAAGAAAGCAAGCTGCCAAATATTTCTCTCATCTCCAAATCAATCACCTTTCCCAATTAATTACCAGTAAACAGAGATGAGAAAGTACATTAGGAAGACGAGGAGGTATTTTTTTTTCTGTTTCTTTGGGCCATACCCACCATGTTCAGGGGTTACTCCTGGCTCTGCACTCAGGGATCACTCTTGGTGGTGCTCATGGGACTACACGGAGAGCCAGAGATGGAACCCAGTTGGCCGTGTGCAAGGCAAACACCTACTCACTGTACTATGGCTCCAGCAACATAATATTTAAAATTGTTTGTTTTTGAGCTACTCCTGCCAGTACTGGGGGACCATGCAGCGCCAGGGAGTCAGGAACTTCCCCATGCAAAGCCTGAGCTCAGTCCACTAAGCTCTCTATAACTGATAAATCAGAGGCTGGGGCGCAGTTGGAAGGCAGTACAACCCACCTCGCAGGAGAGACCCTGTGTCCCCAATCCTGGCAGTGAACCCACAAATATACAGCATTGGAGAAGCAGCCTCATGACAGAGTGCATGCCTTGGGCCTGGGTGTGTGGGCTTTGATGTGGGAGGCCCGAGCACTGCATGGCCCTGAGCACTGGAAGCCCATGCCTGTGCGCACGGACACCACTTTGCTGGGGAAGGCTCAGCTGTCAGGTGGGGTCTACAGGGCCCACCTCACTGTAGTCCTGCACATCTTCCTTCAGCAGCTCCAGCTCCTCCTTCTCCTTTGTCAGAGGCTGCTTCTGCTCCTTGAGTTTCGAGCAGGCATCACTAAGGACATCGATCTCCTCCTTGGTTATTTCCTCTCCCTGGGAAGAAATCGAAGGACACCTAGATTAAGCAGAGCTGTGACTTTTTTACCCCAAAGCACCTGCTTCCCCGAGTGCAGTGCCCCCTGCTGCCTCCCTCTACAAAGTCCTCAAGCTGGTGGTGATAGATACGGCCCAGCTGCCACAGGGGGAACATCTGCACCCAGGTCTGGAGGACGCTTTGCTTGGCCGTGGCTCTGGTCCTGCGCGCAGATGGTGGAAACTCCTTGGGGCCAGGACGTCCAAAAAGGAGGCCATTCTGGAGAAAGCCTGGGAGGCCTCCCTGGGCAAACCAAGACGGAGCCAGGCCCCCGGTGACCCTGAGAGGCAGGCAGGCATCTGCCTGCTGCTTCCATAGTTCCTCAGACTTTGCCCCTACAGTTTCCCAGTCTGGACTGTCCAGGAACCCCGCTCTCCCTCACCTTCCTTCCCTGCAGGCCTACCGGCCTGGCGGATATCCCCAGTGCTTGCCTGCTGGGCTGTCCCCTCCAGCTCTGCTGAACAAGGCTCCTGCCAGCCTCAGTGAGTCCACACTGCTGCGACAGGAGCCACTCTAGCACACATCAAAGCCTACCCTCCTTCTGGCATGGACATGCTTGACCTCAGGTGGACCCTCTGGGGCTGAGCCCCCATCCCTGCCTGGCAGATGGGGAAACCACCCTCTCCTGGCTCCTTCTTCTACTCTAAGGGCAGCACCTCCTCCTCCCAACATGCCCTGTGGTTCCACCCACCGAGTTCCTCAGTACCAGGGCCTACCTAGGAGTCTGGGAATGAGAGGACCCAGCAGACAGGGATGGCCACTACCAGGAAGGACCTCTCAGGAGTGGGAGACAAGTGTGGGGAGCAGGAAAGCCTCCCAGAAGCAGGAGAGAAATGGGGGGATGGAATGGGGTGGAGGGTGTCTGTGGATGTCCTTGGTGCATGGACAGCAAGCTCCTGGCCTTACCTTCAGGCCTTCCAGGACAGGGGCTGTATCTTTCAAGACCTCAGATGAAGGGGTCACACTGGCCACCTGTGACTGCACATCGACCACTGGCCTCCCAGGGGCAGCTTCTACCAGTACTTCAGGCTCTGCTTCCTTCTGAAAGGCAAGGCCACAGCTGCTCAGTACCCCAGTACCCAGAGTGGCCTCCCGGGGTATCACATGGGGCCTGATGCGCCTCTGGTCAGACAGGCCTATATCGTTAACAGGGAGGACTGACAAAAAAACCTGCTCACAGGGAGCGGCACACTTGTGAAGGCGACACCTGCACCCCAACCCCTACCTCCAGGGAGCACCCTAGCTGGGTAGCCCCCTCCCACCAAGCCCCACTGCTCACCGCCCCCTCCGAGCGCCGCTCCAGCTCCTTCTCCCTGTGCTCCTGCCGAATGGCCGCCTCCTCCTTCAGTGTGGCCTCAAGCTTGGCCTTATTGTCCACCTGCTCGCCTTCCACCTCAGCCACTTTCATCTGGGCCTCCTTCGTCTTCAGAGAGGGGATGCCTGTGAGCGAGCCCGGGACACACGGGCCGAGTGCGCCCCACGAAACCCTGGCCCATTTCTGAGGACTGTCCCATTGGGAGCTCCCGAGAGGGGAAGCACAGCTGAGACTGCCCTGATATCCAGGGGCCAGACCCAATGGGGGACCCATGGGCCCACAGCACCCGCTCCATGGCACATACCACTGTCTCCGGTAGGGTCTGCAGTGTGGACTTGAGCTGGTCAGCAGGGGAGAGTGTGTCTGGGAGGTACATGGCCCGGGAGAGGATGAGCAACGAGGATGGGATCTCCTGGTGCAGGTGAAGCTCCAGCCACTGCAGGGAGACCCCCACTCAGGGCTTCTCCGGATGCCCCAACCCACTCAGGGGCGTCTCCAGATACCCTGGCCCAGATTCAGGGCCCCTCTGGGCACCCTGACTATCCCCACAGCTCTGCCTCAAGGTTGCTTGGTTGGAGAGAGAAGTGGTGGTGAAAGGACAACCAGGTGCAGCCGCCATGCTGAGACCTGAAAGGTCTCCCAAGTCCTGGGCACCAGCTACTCTTCCTGCCCGTTGCCCTCAGGACACACAGACCACACTGCCTGCACATGAGTGAAGACGCACCTGCTTCAGCTGGTCCCTCAGCCGATCTTCTGTGACGCCGAGGGCACGCATTCCTCGAGCCCGACAAGCCGCCTGCAGCTCCTTGACATTTAGGCTGCCCACGCCCTCCTCATCGATGAGCTGTGAAGAAAGCCCTGGTAGTTTCGTGCTTCTGGGAAGAGTGGCAGAGCCTGTGCAGCCAGGCTCCGACATTCAGCCAGAAGAACTAATCCAATGCGCTGCCAAGCAGAAGTCAAGTAGCCTGAGAGTCACTGCTCACCCTGAGAGGCCCCAGGGCTGCTGGGGAGGTGACAGGTGCCATTCCACACTGCTGCAGGGGATAGGGGACAAACCTGGCTGACCTGAGGGAAGGGAGAAGCAGCTATGCTCGTTGGCCCAGGCCCCACTGAGGGCCCCTGCTCTCCACTGATGGTGTCCTCTGCTGGAGAGCAGTGGAGGTCCAGCACAAGACAACAGTGGAGCCTGGTAAGGGCACTGGAAGAGGGCAGGAAAAGAAGCACCCCATCGCCCCAACTCTACCCACCGGGAAGCAAGAGCCCCCATCTCTCCTAAAAGCCATATCCGACGAGCGGTGCAGATGCAGAGCCTGTCCCTGTGGTGCAGCCGTACTCGGGAGCTGCAGGCAGTGGCCCCTTTCTCCCATGGCTGAGCAGCACCTGCACAGGGGTACCAAGTGGAACTCCCCAGCAGTGGCAGCTTCAGAGACCAGTGGGGGACATGTGTGTTCCATCTCAGAGGTTCAGGGCTCTGGGCAGAACTGCTGCCCTCCAAGCTCTCCAGACACCCCACCTAGCCCTGCCACATGTGCTCAGATCACCACCTCGAAGACCTCCATCTCTGAACCTGGAATGGGCCCTCCCTAGTGGAACAGGCCTAGCAACTCAGGGATGGGGCAGGGTGGTGCTACAGTGGACCTTGGGGCCTCACACACAACAGGCAAATGAGCTGTCTTGCCAGCCTTGCTGCCACTGTCCAGGGGGGTGCCAGGCACCGAAGGATGTGTTCCCTTTTGGCTCTGCCCACCTTTCACCCCTCTCTGTCTCCCTGGCCTGGCATGCTCTACTGCAGAGACCTATTGAGGTCTGACCCTGCAGGGACTCGGCCCTGCTACTACTGGTAGCCACTGCAGAGCTGTCCAGCACATGCACGGGGCAGCGGCCTACAGGGCTTCTTGGCATGCCTGCCCTGGACACAGCCTGTCCTCTCAGGGCACTGCTGTATCCTGGAGACCCTTCTGGCTCTCTGCATTAGTGACTCTCGCAGGGCCTGTGACTCACCCTCTTTTGACCTTCTGTCCTGGCACAGGGAGGAGGTATTCTGATTATAGATTGTGCAACGATGATGTGGCACCAACTGATCAAGCAAAGAGCTACAGTTGTTCTTATCCCCTGTGCTCTGACTCTTCTGGGTGCACAGAAATCCTCTAGCCCCAAACCCAGTTTTCACTTCCTGTCCAATCACAAGCACCTCAGGTTGGCCACTCCCACAGCTAGGGCCCCAGGCAAAGTCCCACAGCCCCACCTGCTGTGGTGCCCAGGCCTCCTGGCTATTTCCAGGGGACCAGACTACTCAATAGTACCCAGAGTCAAAAGTGTGCTCTGCAGAAGGCGGGGCTTCTGCCCAATGACTCCCGACTGCTGTGTCTGCTGGCACCACAGTTCTAGCTTCCTGGCTGGGAACATCCAACAGGAAGAGGTGGCCCACGGGGTAGAGAACAGAGGAACTGCAAGTCAGCAGGCAGTCAGGCTTTGCCAGTTACTCAGTACCTCAGGGCTGCCGGATGGAGGCTTTATGCCCCCCTCCCCCCACCCCGCTCCACTGAGGATCAACAAGGACTAGGCACTGTGTCGAGAGCATTCCTGGGGGGTTGGAGTGACAGCACAGTGGGTAGGGCGTTTGCCTTGCACATGGCCGACTGGGTTCGATTCCCAGCATCCCTGAGCACCGCCAGGAGTAATTCCTGAGTTCAGAGCCAGGAGTTAACCCCTGTGCATCGCTGGGTGTGACCCAAAAAAGAAAAAAAAAAAAAAAGAGTATTCCTGGGGTCCCAGGTCTCTGGCTAGGCTTTCTCCTTCCATTTTTCTGTCTTGTTTTTACTTCACATCCAGGGGAAAGGGGGAAAGTATCCACCATCTTCACAGCAGGGGTTGTGTCATGGAGTCCACAGCCTAAATAGGGAGAGGACCTGAGCAAGTGGGACAAGGTGTGCAGCCAGGCTTGGCTACTGCAGGGCCCACCACCGGCAGTCTCGTGATCCCTGGACCACACAAAAGTTTCCCAGCCCACCGCAGGGATTATGGAAGCAGTGTGGGGCCTCGTGGGCTGGGAAGAGACAGCAGCACCAGGGGAAAAGAAGCTGAGTGACCGCTGGAGGCTGGCCCCCAGCATCCTGAGTACTCCCAAACAAGAAGGGTAGATTCAGGTCAGCGGTGAGGGGTAGAGCAGAGTACTCAGCGAGCCCCTCTGTGAGGAGCTGACGCTGCTCAGAACCCCTGTCACTTCCCAATGTCTGCACTGGAGGAAAACCCACCTAGCCAAAAAAAGACCAAAGGAGAAGAGGAGTGAAAAGATCTTAGATGACCTGGCGGTGCTGAGACTCAGTGCAGGAAAGACAGAAGCTGGTTGGGGCAGGCTCTGTGGCAGAGCTGCATTCCTGCCCTGGCCATACATCATATGCAACCTCCACGTACAGGGCACACCTCAACTCAAGTGTGGACCCCAGTGTACACACTGCAAGCAGAAGCGAGCTCCCAAAGCAGCACAAGTGTGCACCAGCCCTGGCACCCAGCGGAAACAGTGCAGGATGGGAAAGGAAAGCAGAGCAACAGTGTCACCTCAGAAGGAGTGAAGTTAATAAAAGAGCTAGAGAGACAGAACAGCAGGGAGGCACTCGCCTTGCATGCCGCTGACCTCATGTGAAACTGGCACCACTTACAGTCCTCTGAGTTCTGCCAGTAGTGATCTCTGAGGAGTCAGCCCTAAGCCATGGGGGTGTGGCCCCCACAAAAAGATATTACTGCAGGGGCTGGAGAGAATACACCAGGCATGGTGCATGCCTTGCACACAGCTAACAGGGGTTCAACCCCTGGCATCCATATGGTCCCCCAAGCCTGCCAAGAGAGATCTCTAAAAGCAGAGGCAGGATTAAGCCCTGAGCATCACCAGGCGTGGCCTCCAAATAAAGATTACTGCAGTGCTGCTTAGGATAGTAAAAGATATGGTCCTTCCACATCCCCTAAGACATGCGAATGGTCACCAGCCACCTCCACTGAGTGTGAGGATGGAAGGCTTTTCATTCCCTGCCAAGTGATGGGTTCACCATTTGCTCACATATGCACAGGGGTGTGTGTGGGGGGGATGGCTAAGGGCAGCACACCTTGTCATCGGCCTTGATGGAGCGCAGCCGCATGGTGAGCTGGAAGCGCAGGAAGTTGTTGGTGCCAATGGACTGCAGCTCCAGCAGCTTGCATAGAGCCACAAGCTGCGGCCGCGTCAGGTTGTCCAGGGTCAGCTCATCCTCGAACAGTTTGGAAAAGCGCATGATCTCCTCATTGCTGGGCCTCTCACCGGTCTCTCGGATCTGCAGGAGTCACCACAGGGGTCCTCTGTAGCAGGTGTGACCCGCCAGCATCCCCATTACTCCCAGTAGGAGATAGCTGGCAGCGGCGCAAAGCTCCCAGTATTTCCCCGAGATTTACCACTGCTCAAGAGAAGCCCCCAAGAGCTCACCAGGCCAGGGTGCAGCCTGCATCCCCAGGAGGGATCCCTCATGGATCCGTCCTGCCGTTTATAGCACTGTCCAGGCTGGGCAGTTCTGCAGACAGGCAGTCCCGCCATTCTATCTGCCCTGCACAGGGTATGAAGCAGAGCCGTGGGCCCTCCCACCCTGCTGCCCCCAGCAGCTCCAGGGCTGCACGCCAGCTCAGTGCCACAGGACTCTGCCTCCAGGTGCAGCCTGTGACACAGTAGCACCCTGAGCTCCCGGGGACCCTCGGCCCCACTTCAAGGAGCTTCTAAATCTGCTGTCAGCGTGGGCTCCCTGTAGGAGCTTGTAGGACTGCCAGGGCCCTGCACTCCGCTCTGGCAAGTCTCTCTGAAGCCAGGGAGCGGCACAAGGCCCGCCTCAGGTCAGGGACTAGTGTTTGTCCCTCCCCCAGCCGAGAATGTCTTGGGGTCAAAGGTTCCCCACATGCCAAACTCCACTTCCCCCAGAGTTGCTATAGTGGGGAGACACCAGCAAGTGCCTGTGGATCAGCAGGTTCCAGTGTGGGGCTTCTGCCTTGAGCCCTGCCAGCACCTCAGTACCACCCAAAGAAAGAGAGGGGGAAAGAAGGATCATGCCCAGCTGGGGTTCTGCCCAGCCGGAGGCTGTGGCTCAGCACCTTCTGGAAAAACATGGAAAAGTCTTTGGTGGCATTCCCTTTGGCCGCCTTGTTCTTCAAGGCCATCTCCTCAATGGTGTCCTGAAGAAACTTGGCCAGCTCCAGCTTGACTCGCAGCTCCTTCTTCAACCGCTCCTCCTGCAGGAGGACCAACAGGCTCAGCAACCCAACATTGACATTCTGAGGGGGACCGGGAGCACTGAGTGGCTCTCTGGGGGAGAGACAGAGTGAGATTCAAGAGTTTATGTATCACTCTGGGACTCCCAGAGCTGGGCAGGTACTCTGCCCATAAAGGTCAGTTCGTGTGGCATGAAAGTCCAGAACTCTTGATGGGGGGGGGGGGGGGGGGGTTGCACATAAGCCTTAGAGAGCCCTACTCAAGCCAGCAGGTTGGTCCCCAAATGAACTTGGTGACCAAAACATGGGCAGGCAATCTGGTCAGCAGACCCTGTCCCTGACCTCCCCACAATGAATCTCAAGCACTCCATACAGTCCTCTTGATCTTGAAAAGTCAAGATCAGGAAAGTCAATATTTTTCCCTACTTATTTGGGGGGGGGGGCGGTGTTAGGGTCACAGGCAGCTGTGCTCGGATGTCATTCCTAGCGCTGTGCTTTGGGTGTCAGTCCTGAGGGCACTCTGGGACTAAGCCGTGCCAGGACTGAACCAGGGAGAGCTGCCTGCAAGGAAAACACCTTATCCTGTATTGTCTCTCTCATCCAAAACACCAAATTTTATTATTATTATTTTGGTTTTTGAGCCAAACATAGCAGTGCTCAGAGCTTACTTCTGGCTCTTTGCTCAGGGATCAATCTTGGCACAGGGCTTAAAGGATCATATGGGATGCTGGGGATTAAATCTGGGTTGGTCACATGTAAGGCAAACACCCTCTCTGCTGCCCTATCTCTCCAGGGGTCATTCCTAGCAGGCTTAGGAAGAATCATATTTTATTTCATTTATTTTAGGTTTTGGGGCAAAACCCAGTGATACTCAGGGGTTACTACTGTTGCTGCATTCAGGAATCACTTCTGGCCTAATGGGATGCCAGGGATCAAACCTGGGTGGGCCATGTGCAAGGCAAGAGCCCTACCCGCTGTACCATCACTCTGGCCCTGAGAAGCCATAGCTTAGATTAAATGCATGCAACAAAAATGACTAAAAGCCCACCATCAGTTAAAAGGTCCCAATCCAGCCCAACCCCAGGAGGTGAAGACACAGAAGTGACACTGATTGTCAACAGCAGGCTCATTGCCCCACATTGTCACCTTGATAGACTGAGTCTCGAAAGTAGATGGCAACATGTTGGGGAAGAGCTTCACGGCCACCGGCAGAAGGAACTCCATGAAGGGCACTACCACGAAGACCAGGAAAGGTACCAGCCGGAAGAGGTCAGCACAGATCCGGAGGAACTGGGGAGAGACAAGGACAGGAGATGCAAAGGGACATCCTCCTCCAGGTTCCTGGTCTGTGGAGTCAGCTTGGATAGGACAGGCAGTGTCATTTGTTTCAGGCTCTGTCGAGGCTCTGAGCAGAGACAGCCTGCACCGGGGTATGGCTGCCACTGACCAGGCGCTGCTGTCCTTCCAGGTGCTCACCCTATTCAGACACTCAGCCCACCTGAGCACAAGCAGAGCTCTCTCCTTATGGTCTGTGGCCGAGTGTTCTGGAAGGTGCCACTTTCACACACTCATCTCTTTGCCTTTTCCACATGCTCTCCTGTGCATCACCTTCCTACTTTTCTTCTGTGAGATCAGAGAGGGCTCACCACTATTGACATGCAGCTTTAAGGGTGCTCGGGATGCCATAGACTACAGTGTGCCCTGGGAGCAGTGCCTGCTCCATCCAGCAGAAATTCGGTTGTTTCCAGACACAGGCTCCCTGATTCCTCCCCCACACTCCCTGCTCTCTGAGGTCTGTCTTCTGGGGTTAGGAGCACAAACATTTAAAATGCTACATCATGTGATGATTTCATCCCTTTTCCATGGCAAATGGTACTGGCAGTCGGATCCCTGTGTGGCCCAGCAGCCCTCCCTTCTTTCCCCGTGTGCCTCTTGGTCCTCAGCACTTCAGTATGTTTCTCAGAGATGCAGAGCATTGGGTCTCACTTTTTAATCTAATATGGTCACCTGAACTACTTAATAAGAGTGGAAGAAGAAAATGCCATATGGCACCTAAATAGATACAAAAAAAAGCATACAACAGAATCTAAACTCTGCTCCTGGGAAAAGTTGTTACAGTTTACAAAAACAATAGTGGGGACTATTAGGAGGAAGTGAGAGCAATATGGGAGCACCCAGGTGTGCACCTACAAAACATAAGCAACCTAGAGCACTCGGATTGACTAGTGTATTAAGTCTTTACATAAGATAGAAGATCCCTGACTTTTCTTTTTGCGGGTAGGGAGCTGGGCCCACCTGTCACATCTGTGTTCAGAAACCAGCCCTAGCTGGGTTTTTTTGCCCTGAGGTCAGGGTGTGGTGGTCTAGAGAACTCAAGGGCTTGAAGCTACTTTGGGCCCAGGAAGAGGAGAAAAGAGGAAGGGCAGCAATGCACGAGGCATGACAGGGCACCCAGAGGCCAGGAGCCTGGGAAGCCAGTAGGACCCTGAAGATCTAAAGGAATCACAGGCACAAAGGCCCAATGTCAGGGTCACAGGCTATGGAGTTGATGACAGAGATGAGACCAGGTCAGGAACACAGAGCCCAAGAGTGAAAGCAGTGCGGTCAGGAGGGAGGTGTGCATAGGCTGAGACTGGAGCCGGCTCACCCTCGAAGCCATACACCAAAAGGTGCCTTGAGAGGTGACAAGAGAGGGGCTGGGATATCGCTCAGTGGCAGACCACATGCCTGGCCACAGTGGCACCAAAAAGGGAAAGAAATGACAGGAGAAGAGGAAGCAGAGACAGGGTGTTAGAAGAGCAACCCTCGGAGGCACTGGGCCTGCAGCGGCTGCACCCTGAAGGAAACACCCCTTACCTGCCTGCGCTCACGGCGGCTCAGGGTGTGGCCATTGAGGATGCGCCAGAGCATGCGTGCAGCGATCTTGGTGTCAATCCAGAGCAAGCGGAAGCCATGGTAGTAGTGCTTCAGCTCGTCCAGAACCTTCTGCCCCAGCGACTTCTTCACGGCCACCTCTGCAGGGGGGCTGTACACAGGGCCCCCCTCCTCCAGCTTCTTGTTCTTGTCCTTCAAGGACTTGAGGGACTTCTCCACCACCGAGTCATCGCCTCGCGGAGAAGAAGAGTGCCAGCCACGTACGGAAAGAAGCTGTAGCCCCGTGGCAGCACTCCCTGTCAAAGCAGGAACCCACGGTGCCCTGGCCACTGACCATGGGTGATCAGGCCTTGGAGTCCATGAGCCAAGGAGGGTGTCACCTCTGAAAGAAAGGTACCCAGGGTGGAAGCGGGCACAACAGCCAGATGGGATGTTCCTTGAGAAGCAAAAGAGAAAATGGCAGTGAGGACCTAGGGCCTCCCATGACCTTCCAGCACTGTGTCCACCAGCACTGTGTCCAGGAGTGACAAAGACCACACCGTAGCACAGCAGACACCCAATTTCCCTGCACAGAAAACACTCCCACTGCTCCCTACACCTGAGAAACACCCTAGGGAGCTGACCCTCCACAGAGCAGGATGCTGCTGCAAGCCCAGCTAGCTACCCTGTCTGGAGCAAGCATGCCAGTCCATCACCTGCCCACAAGAGGGTGCCAGAGGGCCAGCAGGTGGTTGGAGGCAGGTAGGACAGACAGGGCCAATCTCTGGGTGAGTCTCAGAGGTGAGTGCCAATGATTTGGGGAGCCAGACACTGCTTTGGAATTTGGGGGAGATGGTGGGGTGCAAAGGAGGGAATTCATGGAGTTTGAGGTCCTCTCACCTAACAGATGGCTTTCTTTAAAGATCTATGGTTCTGTGGCCAGAGAGAGCAGAGCTACAGGATAAGGCATTTACTTGCCTTGCAAATAGCTGGCTTAGGTTCAACCCAGCATCTCATATGGTCCCCTGAGTCCATCAGGAGTGACCCCCGAGTGCAAAGTCAGGAATATGCCTTTGTTTAAGACCTATATTTCTTAAACAAGCCCTGAAAATCAACAAGGATGCACAAATCTAAGGCCCTGGTGTCAGCTAACCAGAAGTTATGGCACCCCCCAGGAAAGACCCAAAGACTGTCCCTCCCTCAAAGTGGGTACTAAAGGAATTCTCAGTGAAAGAACAAGAACTTGGCTTGAACACATCTTGGGAGTTAGCTGTTAATGTTTGAAAGCAATTTTGGCTTCTGATTTTAACTTTTTCAGAAACTCACTTTGTTTAACTGGGTATGTCTTTTTCAAGAGGGGCTGTTTCAAAGGGAAGTTGGCATCATCTGACTGTTTCAAAGAAACGGCTGTAGTAGAATCACATACTCTCCCATTGGTGTTTGGTGGACACTGATTACCGTTTGTGGGCTATATAAGCTTTAGGGCCCAGGATCTCCTTCTGCTTCTCCCTATTCTGCTGTGAAAGTTGGGGGGGTTTTATTTGTCAGTTTTTTTTTTACTTCATTGGGGCAGTGCAACTTAAGTAAAATAAAAGTGCTGGAGCAGGTGAGAAAGTCCAGGGCAAGGGTCAGGGATGATGTGGAGTGGGCAGTGGTCCCAGTTTCCTGGTGAAGAAAAGGGTGTGGCAATTGGTGGAGGCTTTCTGTTCTTAGGGCTTTGTAGGTCATTTTAATTCAAACAAAATGAGGGTGATCTGACTGGTACAGAAAAGTGACTATGAGGTGCAAAGAGATAGTTCAGGGGTTAAGGATTTGTTTAATCTGTGGCCCTGAGCAACACTGGGTGTGGCTCAAACCCACCCCACCCCCTCAAAAAAAAAAAGGAGGGGGGAGTATAGAGCCAGAAGGAGTTGGCTCAAAGATCTGAAATAAGAGCTCTGCAGGTGGGAGCTCCAGGTTCGAGCCCAGAGCAGAAGAGTCTACTTCTCAGCCACCAAGGGTGTCACCTTCTTCACTTATGGATCCTGATCACCTATGGACAGTGGCCAGGGCACCGTGGGTTCCATGCAACAGTCTTAGCCTCAACCTCCCAAACAAAGAGGAAGTCATTGCAACCCTATTTCTGGGGCAGACATATGCTGTCCACAGGTCCTGGTACCAGCATGGCACAGCCCAGAATTTGTGGGTGCTGGGGAGAGGGCTCAAAGGACTGAGTGTATACTTTTCGGGGGTGGAGGGGAGGGCTCCAGGCTCAAACCCAGGCTGATAGGAACAAGTCCAAACAGTGAGGTGGGAACAGCACCTGATCATCACAGCCCAAAGCCAAAACCAAAAAACCGGGCTGGAGAAACAGGACAGCAGGGAGAGCATTTGCCTTGCACATAATCAACTTGGGTTTGAACCCCAGTACCCCATGGGGTCCCCCAAGACACCACCAAGAATAAGTTCTGAGTGAGGATGGAATCCTAAGCACCATTGGGTGTGGTCCAACCTCTGCAGCCCCAAAAATAAAAAATGAAACTAACAACCCAACTTTAGACCAGTCTGTTTCTCAGATTCCTACAGGCTCACAGTTCCCCGCTTTCTTTTCCCTGACCTTGCAGACCAACCTTAGAGGCCCAGGCCCCACATTCCCTGGAGGAAGTTTACTGCTGCCCCTATGCTGCCATTCCAGTTGGCTCCACATCCCAGCAGAGGACCAAGTTCAGAACAGATTGCTCAGTTCAGAGTCCAGCTCCAGTGACTGCTGTGTGACACAAGTCAAGTAACTCAATCTCTGTGCTTTAGGAGACCCTATGTGAACGTGAAAGAGCTAAGAGAATGTATAAAGTACCAAAACGGCACACAGGGTGGCAGCTTTGAGATGACCCCACAGAGCAGCCGGGAAAGTTGGGATGCCTTATCCTATTGCTTCCCTTTCAGGCAGGACCCTTCTGCCTCAGCAGGGATCAGACTCTCCCCAGGGTCCTCTCCCCTTTGCTAATGCCCAATTCTCAACTCAAGGGAGGTGGGAGAGGCGGCACCCAGTCGGGCTCCCCACCATGTCTGTGCCAGCTTCACCAGCAAAGGAGACAGCCAGACCCAATCCCAGGCCCTGGCAGCTCCTGTCAGATCAGCACCATAGAACTTGGGCTACATATCACCTTTCCCAGGGACAGTGCACCAGGATACCAGTCTTGACTCATTCCTTCAGGGAAACAACACTAGAAGAGACAAACTGACCCTAGTAACAGGCACTAGCACCAAGAGGGACAAGTCTAGAAGTGAAGGCACTTGTGTAGGATAACAATTGATTTGTCCTTTCTCCCTTGCCACAAGGAGCTTAGGTTTATCAGGTTGCACCTATCACAGTTGACTCTTCTTTAGCTTTAGCTTCTTTTTCTTTAGTCCTTGGACTTTTCCTTTTGGAATTGATAGAAAGATTCAGCCCGAAAAGGCTAAGCTGTCTGAAAACACCCGGACTTTAGAGCTATCCAGCCTGTCTGAGGCAGAGAGAAGAGTGGCTGATTACAAGGCATGTGAGAAGTGTGAGAAGTGGTTACAAAGGAATGGGAGTGACACTGTGATGGGTGCAATCTGATAAAAACTAAGCTCCTTGTGGGAAGGGAGAAAGGACAAATCAATTGTTATCCTATACACCCATACCCAGGAACAAGGTGGAATCAGCTATAGACCACATGACCCTCAGGTGGGAATAGAGATGTCACCCATGGGAGTCTCAAGGCCTGGCACCTCCAGCTTGCCACGTGTGGAAGCAGGCCCAGGACTCGCAGTCACAAGCTGATCTCCCTAATGACGGAATTCTTCTTGTGGCCCTCCCTACCCTGGCTTTGGTCATAGGAGTGGCGGGGATATCCAATGGGCTGGACATTAGGGTCACACTTTTGCTGGTGTGTGTCCTAGCTATAGTCTCATGGTAGACCGTGTCACTGGTGTCCACACAGTGATTATATAACATCAGTTTTTGGTGCTTGCACACCCCTGATTATGGTGCAGGCCTGGAGGGGCAGACAAAGTCTCAGACAGCAGAGCCAACAGGACCCACAGCACATCTGGGTGATATGAGGAGTTAAACTCTTGGTCTTAACTCTAGACAGGCACTTGGCCCTCTGCCTTCATTCCAAATTCAAGGGCCAGAACTTGTAGGAACGTGCCGCAGCCTCTTCACTCTCTTGGCTCAGAAACTTCCACCTACTCACCCTTCAGAGATCAGCCCATTGCCTGTGCAGAATGTGGAGATTGCAAAACCAACACCCAAAGGGCCAACGGCCTGGCTGGCTGCTACCCAGGCAAATGGCGGGATTTCTAATGCTGCCCAATTAAAACCACCACATGTTGACAAAGCCAAGACTCACCAACAAGCCTACTCTAATGTGTGTGAGCTCAGCAAACAACTCTACAGCTTTCATCTCTTGACTTTCTAAAAACTGTGTAACTTTCATAAAAGGTTCTTTTCCAGTGATGCCAGACACTGAACCCAGTACCTTATGCATACAAGTGCTCTACCATGAGCCACAACCCCAGCCTAGAACTTAGAAAATGCTTGTATTAATAAAGCACAGCTTTCTTGATTGCCTTTGCTTGGGGGGGCCACACTGGCAGTGCCTGTGATTGAACCCAGGCCTCCTGTATGCAAAGCCTGTGCTCCAGGCCTCTGAGCCTTCTCCTAGGTCTAGGCTTTATTTTCATTCTAGTCTTACATACTAAAAAGATGCTTGTTAGTAGGAGTTACAGACACTGTAAGGCCAAACAAAGAAAATACTTAAAACAACATGAAGAGCCAGGGAGAAAGCTCAAAGGACTGAAGCACAGGCCTGCAGGCATCTTTTATTTATTTATTTTTTTATATTTAGTCACAGTGAAATTGCAGTTATTCTTCACTGGGTATCAAGTATACAATGTTTCAACACCAATCTCCTCACCAGCATCCACTTACCTCCAACAATGACCTGCATCTTGAATTCCATCTCACTCCACTTGGTGGATCCCAGCTGGGAAGCACTGCTTTACCCACCCAAGCACTGACTGTCAGGCTGGCAGCCAGGCTGACATAGACCAATAATTCCCATGCCAAAGCAGGCATTTAAGAGTGGACAGTGAGAGAATGTCCTTCCCAACACTTAGCGCCACATCTGAATGTCTCATAGCAAAATCAGTGGTCTATACCAAGAGGAGGGCATACCTTTTGCTCAGAGAAGAGGTTGCAAACCCAAGAAGGGAATTATACTTGCAAAGACTACACCTATTTTCAATAGCATTCCCCAAAAGGCTTCGTGGCATTCCAGTTACAATGCCCAAAGTACCAGTTTAGAACAGAATTCAAAAATTTATCTACAAAGGTCCAGAACAGAAGTGCCTGCAGGCAGGATGACAGCAGGCTGGACAACTCTTGAAGGTAAAGGACTGGACAAAGACCCCCACCCTGCCAGCTGGCCAGCAGCAGGTCCATGGCACTGTGCCTCACTAAGACTGCTGTGGCAATGAGTCCTGAAGCCAAAAGGCTACATCAAAGTCAGATGTGAGGGTTCTTTTGAAAGCCTAGGAACTGACTTTGCAGAACCACATCTTGTCCTGCAATCCTTGCCTGCTGGGTCATGGATAAAGGATTCTTAGGGATGAGATCCAGAAAATGTAATCCGCCCAGAGCACAGGAGTCCCGAAGGGATCCATGCCACAAAAACAGAAACTTCCTCAGAGCAGCCTGTGACTGAGAATGGAAGCCTAATCACATCCAAGCCTGGAGCTGCTAGAGTATTCCCACAGCAGGACAGCCACAGGAAGGGATTCCAAGACAGACCAGACTCTGGCCCCAGTGGTACCCAAGCAGTACCAGCCTGAGCACTGCAAGAAAAGGAGGGAGGGAGAAACAGACGGCTCTCTTCTGTTCTGGACAGCTGAGTTCAGTTTTAATGCTGAAAGGGAAGTCTGGGCATTGCACAAAAATGTAAGGAGAAAAGGAGACTGAACCCAGGGCAGAGGGGATGTTTGAAGATGAGTGCTACATGTCAAAGGGAAGTTCAAGTTCAAGGGCAACAAAGGGCAGGTAAGTGCACATACCAACTCCTCCAGGAAGCCCTCTAACTTTGAGGAAGACCTCTAGCTTCGTAGCAGTACTATGACCACCCACCACTGGCCAAAGTCTACATGCTCCAGATTTATCCCTAGAACCAGGAGAACTCAGTTACCATGCTGCTCTGGCAAAATGGGAATGAAGAGAGAAGAGAAGGAGGTCAGTATGCTGCCTGACCCATACCCAGTATGTTTCTGAACAAACTCATGAAAAGTCCTTGGGAACGTTGGATGCAGGAGGCAAGAACTCTGCCCCTTTAAATGCCCTACTGGTTCCACTGTCCAATGTAAAAAACAGATTTCCAAAAAAAAAATCTCAGAAAAAATGCAGAAAAAGCTAGTATTTGAAAGAGCTCTTAGAATTACAAATGCTCACTTTATTTTCCAGTTTCACTAAAGCATGTCCTTATATGTCTCAAAACTTTTCAAAAAAAGATTTCTAAAAACAAAACAAAGAATAGTAGAGTATGTCCCCCCAAACCGAGCCATGCATCACTTATAAGTTATAAGCGTCGACTGTTGAGCAGGTGGAAAGTGAGTTTCTTTTTTTTTTTTTTTTTGCTTTTTGGGTCACACCCGGCAATGCACAGGGGTTACTCCTGGCTCATGCACTCGGGAATTACCCCTAGAAATGCCCAGGGGACCATATGGGATGCTGGGAATCGAACCTGGGTCAGCCGCATGCAAGGTAAACGCCCTACCCGCTGTGCTATCACTCCAATCCCCGGAAAGTGAGTTTCTTGACTTACATGCGGTTTATCAAGCCCACGGTGCTGGCACAGCTGAGACATGCTCGGTCCCCCAGAGCACCTAGGGCAAAGCAGAGAACTAGGTTAGTCCTAGCCCTTCCTGTGATGCAGACCCACAGCCTGAGGTAATCATCTTGGCTGAAGCTTCTGGAAGTGCCTAGTGCTAAGTGAAGGTTCTTTCTGAGCTAGGAGTACAGCCCCAGGGGAGCCCTCAGGATGGGAGGGAAACCCAAGGCAGACCCTAGCTCTAAAGCACCCAAAGGGGAGAACCTCAGAGCCTGGTGCATGCAGAACTACTCTACTTGCCCCATGCACAATGATCACAATAAACAGTACCAAGAGAACACAGCAGGGCTGAGGTTCTTGCTGCGCGCCCGAGAGATAGGAGCCATGGAATGAAGGAAGCCAACCACCAGAGCAGCCATTGCTTGGGTGAATAGCATAGAACCAGTGTGGGGCACATATCTGGGGCTTTCATGTATTTGTGGCATTTCCCTAGTTCCCAAGTCAGAGTTCATTCACAGAAGCAGGATTGGAGCACAAAGGTCAGAGGTGCCATCCCAACTTGATTAGTGGCTCCAGAAAGATGGTGGCATTTTGATATACTCTGGCCCCACGAGGAAAGGCTCACCACAGTGCTGGGCTCCAAGAAGGCACTGGGGAGCCAGTGTGGGCAGGAGGGGGATAGGGACACCAACTTTCTACCCTGCTTCACTAGGCGCTTCTGAAGATGGGGTGGACGCCTGTCACATTTTTTCTGAACCACACCCTGCTGCATCCAGTACGGGATCATTCTTACTGGGGCTCTGGGGCCCCTATGTGGTGGTAGGGATGGAACTTGGGTCATTCACATACAAGGCAAGCGCTCTACCCGCAGTACTACCTCTTTGGCCCCTGACACCTGTCACTTAGGATGAACCCACAGGTCAGGACCTGCAGAGTGGACGGGCCTGTCAGATATAGCTAGGTCTAAGTCAGTAATGTCTAAGGCCACCACTAAGTGGCAGAGCGACCCCCACCCCCTGCCAAGGGTGGCAAGGCCCACGGAGAAGGGCAGAAGAGGCCTCTCGGTGCCAGCTGGGGGCCTGGGTGGGTCTAGGAACCGAAAGAGGCCATGCGGGGGGGGGGAACCACAGGTGGTTGGGGGGCCGTGGGGCGTTTCTGTGGGGAAGGAAGGGCAGGAGGCGGTGGGCTCGATCTCTGCAGCGGGGAAAAGAAGCCACCGGTTGTGGCTGCAACACCCGCTGCGGCATCAGTGTGGAGTTCGGGGACGGTAAACCCCCAACCCCGTCGGTCCCACTCGAGCCCAGCTGAGCGGGAGGGCGGCGCGGGGCGGCCCGAGCGTCACTGAACTGCCCCAAACGTCTGCTGGGCCGGGGCGCGGGGACACCGGGCCTGCGCAGGGCGGCCGCTCCCCGGGACTCCACGGCGGGCGTCTAAGGTCACGCTCGTGAGTCACCGCGGCCGCCGCGGGAACGCCCGGCACAGCGCCTCCCTCCCTCAGCCGCCGCCGTCCACGCCGCGCCGGCCCCGAGCCCTGCCCCGCACTCCTCAGCCGGCGTCCAGATCCCCGCGTTGGGCCTCAGGCCCGCCGGCCTCAGCCCCGGGCGCCGGCTGTCAGGCCCGCCCGCCTTCAGGCCCGCTCGCTCGCCTCAGCCCCCGGCGCCGGCACTCGGGCCCGCCCGCCCTCAGGCCCGCCCGCCTCAGCCCCCGGCGCCCGCCCTCGGGCCCGCCCGCCTCAGGCCCGCGGCCCGGCTTACCCCTCGGGGCGGCGACGCGGGGCCGCGGGAGCCGGGCGGGATCCCGGGCGCGGCATCGCCTCAGTAAGATGGACGCCATGTGGTCGGCCGCTCCGCCCGCTGCAGCCGCCTACTCCGCCGCGGCGGCCCGGTCGGCTCGCACGGCTGACGGTAACGGTCTGCTGCGGGAGGAGGGCGTTCAGCTCAAGGACCCGAGTCCGGCGGCGGCCATGTCCCGGCACAGACGTCCGGCGGCGCGGGGCGGGGCGGCCGGCCGCGGCTCCCATTGGGCCCCTCGGCGCCCGCCGCCGGCCAGGTGAGGGGCGGACCCGGCGCCGGCGGACTCGCGCTCCCGGCCTGCCCCGCGCGCCCGGACTGGCCCCGCCCCCGACGCAGTGCGGACTGGCCCCGCCCACAGGCCCGGGATGGCCCCGCCCCTAACCCGGCTCGGACTGGCCCCGCCCCTCCTGGCCGCGGCCCCGCCCCGCCGCACGGCACGCTGGGGCCCCGCTGGGCTCTTCCTGGGCTCCCCAGAGTCTGAGATTGCTGGGCGTTTGTTTGCTGGACGAGGCGTCGGCGGCACCGGAGGACGCGCGTGTCCCCCGAGCCTGGTGGTGCTCAAGGAGAACGGAGGGCGTGGAGCCCCGCGGCCTCGTTCAACCGCAGTCGCGGTTCGGACGCCGGGTTTCCAGAAGCCCTCTTGCTGGGCCGTGCTCGGGTGTTGGCGGCACCGCGGACCCCACGGGGCGGGGGACCTACTGCCCCCAAATCCAGTGGCGCCGGGCCTGTCCGGAACGCCCACTCGGCCCTCGGCCCACGCCTTACCTCCGTACCTCCGTTAGCCCCTGCCTGGAAGGTGGTTCCCAGACTGCACATGTTCTCCTAGCCAGTTTGCTGGTGTCCGCGCCTCGGTGAGGCCCTGTGCACAGCCGTCAGGCCTAGTGGATGCATGCTTGTGGGGTCCTGTGCACGCGCGTCAGGCCTCGTGCACATCCGTCGGGCTCATGCAGGTCGATAAGGTCGCATGCACGCCCATGGATTCCCGTGCATGTCTGTCAGGCCTCGTGCAGTCGGTCAGGTTGCGTGCCATCCCATCTGACCTCGTGCGTCGGTCAAGGCCAGTGCACGTCCATCAGGCCTTGTGCAGGTCGCATGCACGGCCATGGATTCACGTGTACACCCATTGGGCCCCCTGCAGGTCCATCAGTGCCCATGCATGCCCTTGGGATCTCCTGCACGCCCCTCTGCCTGTGCACGCTGGTAGGATCCAGTGCAGGTCAGTTAGATCCCATGCACGCCCATCAGGTTCTTTGTGGCTGTGCATTGCCGGCTGCAGAGGCTGGTTGCCCAGCATCCTCTGCCCTCTCATCTGGAAGAGGCAGGCCACCTACCATGATTTTCCTGAGCCACATCTACCCTGTGCTGGACTAGGAAGGCTATGGTCTTATTTCAGATGGGAGAAGATGACACCGTTAGTGACAGCCCATATATCACTGGGCAGCAAGCTCTGTAGCCCAGATGGAGGTGGAGTGAGGCTGAGTGTCAGGATGCCCACAGACAGGGCCCTTCTCTGATCCTCTGCCCCCTAAGGAGGCACAGAAGGGTTAGGAGGAACAATTCTTGCCTGCCCCTTTCCCCAGGCAGCCAGGGGCAGCCACGACTGGCATCTGGAGCCCTAGGTGTGTAAGACCTTGGTCAGTACTAGTAGCTGCCAGGGCACTGCTGTCCCAGAGCTATAGGCGAGGAAGAGTAGACCCCAAGCAGGGGCTTGAGCTGACCCCTAAGGCTGCTTCTGGTCTCTTTCTGCTGGACAGGGCTGAGTAAAAGGTGTGCCTGGTGAGTGTGTGCAGGTGTGTGTGGGACCAGGCCACCTGCCCATGTGCAGGTGAGGAAGACCAGTAGGGCCTGCCTGGAGGACCACCATCCAGCCCAGCCAGGAGGGTCTTTGGGTTTTTTTTGTTATTTTGACCTCACCTGGCATTGTTCAGTGTTACTCCTGGTTCTGTACTCAAGGATCACTCCTGGGGTTTCATGGGAGACCATAAGATGGATGCCAGAGGTTGACCAGGTTGGTGGCATGCATGGCAAACAAACGCACTACTGACTGTACTGTCACTCTGGTCTTACAACCAAGAGGTAGGTGTGAGGAAGGGAAGGTGTAAATCAGGGTCTCCGCAGAGTCCGAGTTGGTCCCTGGGCTCTGTCACCCAGTTGGGTAACCTGAGAACACCCACATTTAGACATGACCCTTTGTGTGAGAAGCCCAAGTTTGAGCCCCAGTACTAGTGTCAAAGAATATTCACTTTAAGTAACTATAACAGACCTGTCCGTTTCTGATTTCCTCAAGACCCCCTTCCGGCTTGTTTAGCTATGAGGTTGATGAAAATACTCAGAACTACTCAGAACCAAGTAGTGCTCCATGCGCCTCAGCTCCCATGGTTGCCCCACCCACATGCCACCTGTGACACGGAGACCTTTGGCCTTTCCCGTCTCTTCTTCCCTATGCTCCGTGTGTTGACTGCTCGACTCCACGGTGTGTGTGTGATCACAGTTACAGTGGAGCTAGGTCTCATGTCCACACTGCAATGCCCCCAGCTAGGCTGTGTGGAAACTGGGAATGCGCCTCCCAGCAGGTGAGGGCCTCAGGGATCAATTTAGGGCCCAGATTAGGATATCAGTTTAAAGCCTGTTAGGGATGGGTTTAGGGAATCAGTTGAGTGAGGATTAGGCCCATTTAAGGTTAGGGATGGTTTCGTCTGGGTTAGAGATCAGTTTAGCACAACAACTAATCCTTGGGGGCTAAGAAGACAGCCTAGGGCTGTATGCTGTGCTTTGTTTCCAAGAGGTGGGGTAGGGTTGCATTTCACCAGGCTGATTTTGCCAGGAAGTGGAAAGTGGGGGTCTGGGGCCCAGGATGTTTGCTCAGACCTGGAAGGCCAAGCTGGTGGGGGAGGGGATTGGAGGGAAGGTGAAGGGAATTTCTCAGCTCCTGGAGTCCAGCTGAGTGAACCCTGGAGGGAAGCGTGGGGGGGGGGGGGGGGGGAAACTGGCTCAGGGCAGCCTGAACTCAGCCTGTGGAGCTGTTGCAGAGTGATGACAGGCGTCAGTTTCACAAACTTTTAAAGGTTTTGATTATATTTTTGGTGGCATCTGACTGAACCCAGGCCTCACATATTCAGAGCATGCACTCCAGCACCTAAGTACATCCCTGGCTTTGGGGTGGAGGCTCCCAGTTGTGCACAGGCAGTTGTGAAGGGGCTTGTGCTCGGGAGTCCTCCGGTGCTGGGAGCCAGGCCTGTGCACTGGCCCTCGGTCCTGTCAGCTGCCGTCCTGGACCCCCAAGGGTGTTTTTATTTTTTGGTTATTATTTATTTATTTTTTTTTTGCTTTTTGGGTCACACCCGGCGATGCACAGGGGTTACTCCTGGCTCTGCACTCAGGAGTTACTCCTGGCAGTGCTCAGGGGACCATATGGGATGCTGGGAATGGAACCCGGGTCGGCCTCCTGCAAGGCAAATGCCCTACCCGCTGTGCTATCTCGCCAGCCCCTCCCCCAAGGGTTTTAATGCCATGACTAAATTGAACTGAAGGGGCTGGAGCGATAATACAGCAGGGAGGCCGTTTACCTTGCACGGTTCAAACCCACAGCCAACCCAGTTTGATCTGTGGCATCCCTTATGGTCCCCTGAGCACGGGGAGTGATTCCTGAGTGCAGAGCCAGGACTAACCCCTGAGCATTGCTGGATGTGACACCCCAAAAAAACAAAAAAAAAAAAGATGAAGCTTTTGCCGCTGTGCGTGTCTGGCAGGCAGCAGCCAGGCATGTGCCTTCTTCCCACCCTGTGCCCTGCACTTCTCCCTTCTCCAAGTTCTCCAAACTGAGAAGTTGTACTCGTCTGCTAATACGCCACTTTGGTTTTTCTGTTTGTTCAGGGCCACATCTGGTGGTGGGCTCAGGGGGCCATACGGGGTGCCAAGGATGGAACATGAATCAGTCGGGTGCAAGGCAAGCACGCGTCCTACCCACTCTGCCATCACACAGGCCCCAAGAGTAAATTAAGGTTACACCAGTCTGGTTAGAATTCGAGTGGATTAGGGTTAGGCTGCTTAGACTTGGCTTGCTTAGCAGTAGGAAGGGTTAGATTAGGTTAGGTCAGGATGAATTAGGGTTAGGCTAGCAAGGTTAGGACAGGGAAGCCTAGGGTTAAGATCAGGTAGAGTTAGGGTAGGTGGGTTAGTTAGGGTTAAGTTAGGGAAAGTCCTGTGAGGGTTAGGTTAGCTTGGTTAAGGTTATGTTAGAATCAGGATCACTGGGGTTTTTTAGGGTTAAGTTGGTAGGTCAGTTAGGGCCAGGTGAGGTCAGTTAGCGCTAGCTGGAGAGCCTTCCCCCTGGGCAGTGGGTATGAGTGCGGGAGGGTCACACTGGCAGGAATGTGTGCAGTGCAGCTAAAGGAGTTCGAACCCAGCAGCTGAGTCCCACAGCCTGGCCTAGGGTCAACCTGCTGAGCACCACAGCTGAGCACTGGAGCACCCTGGTGGGGCATGTGTGTATGTGATCCCCACCCCTTTCACAGCCCTGTTTCGACTCTGGGGAGAAGCGTTCTTTCTACATCCTGCTGGCCCTGCCTATGGCTCCCATTGTTCTCTGGGGCAACTTTCCTTCACGCATTAGACCCTGTTACTTCCTTACTTTAAGAAACTGCTTCCAAGTGTCTTCTAGGGCCAGTCTAAGGCCGCCCTCCCCCCCCCCCCAACCTTCTCCCTGCACCTTTGTCCTCTCCCCCCTCTACTGCTCTTCTGCGAGTGGTGGTGGAGCAGAGAATCAGAGAATGTGGGCATCTGAGACTGGACCCCCAACCCTGGCTCCTGCTAGGCACTCCCTGGGAGAGCGTCTCATGTGACTAACAGGGCCTCCTGCGAGCACCAGCAGCACCCACAGCCCACACAGTCAATGGATAAAACAATGCTGGGCCGTGTACAAGGCACACACCTTCCCCTGTACTGCCCCAGCAGCCCAGGGGTCACTGGCTTTCCTGACCTTTGGCAGTAGGAAGTGAGTAATCAGCAGCATCTCAGCCTGAAGTCACCACTCAGCACTGTGCAGGAGATGTGGGATGGCAGCAAGAGGGGCCCGGCAGCTGGCAGACGTGTGTTTGCGCCCCGGCACTAATATGTGTCCCCTGACGCCCCCAGAAGTGATCCCCAAGCATAGAAATGGGCAAACCCTGAGCATCCCTGAATATGGCCCCCAAACCAGTTACAGTGTCCCGAAGGCACAATAAAGGCCCTCCCGTTGATCATCGATTTGCTCGAGC